AATATGAATATGAAGGCGCCTGGTAGTCCAGCTGGTTTTATACATTTCGATCAGATAACCGGAATAAAAATATTTTCATCAATGTATTCCAAAAATGCAAATGTTTTTGCTGCTATACCATCTTTACATGCAGCATATCCAACAATAACTGTTCTCTATGGTTCTTTAAGTAAAAAACTTTGGCTTCATATAGGATTTGTTTTTTTTTACATTTGGTGTTTGGTTTTCTGCTGTTTATTCTGGACATCATTATGTTATCGATGTTCTCGCTGGTGGTACATGTGCAGTAACAGCTTATACATTATATCGTCTTATATCTCGTATTCCAACAATAAATCGATTACTCGTGGCATACAGTAAATTAATCTAAATAACAATATATTGTTATTTGAAAAAATCTTTTTGATAATGTGTGAATGGCGATTGTTGCTTGCTTTTCATTTAAAATCGTCAGATTCTTGTTTATGCAAAAAACATAAAAGCAAACATATTTCATTTTTCTTTAACAATAAATAAAAATTCTTAAAAAATATATTCTTTTGTTTAATAATAATTAGAAAAAGTTTGAAATTTTTCTTTCATCTCTTTCTCGAACGTGACAGTTGTCTTTATTTACAATAAAAACGATATTAATGTTCAATGAAGCATGATCAATATGTAGGCGAGATGTTTTTTTCATTTAATATAACATGCAGTTTTTTTTTGTCTCGATCAAATTGTTCATAATTTTATATCATTCACAGACTGAAAATATCTCCGCTTTAGAGTTCATCAATTTCAACTACCGATAAATATGATTATCGTTTTCGTAAATAATATGTCTGATTTAATTATCACAACTACATAGTCATTTAAATTTAAAAGCAAGATAAGATATGATGCCTATCTATGACAGATGAAGGAGATTCATTTTGAAAAAGACGAGTGATATATGATGAATTATGTTATCTTTTGTAATAACGATACAAAGACGAAGAGTATATTTTACATACCTGAAATAATTTCAGAACATTTTTTTTTTTCAATCCGAGAATAAAAGAAGAAAAAGAATGATCGTTATTTTTGTTTACATTCACATATTTGACATTTTATGTATACTTCAATCATTATTGATGAAAAATCTATTGGTCTTTATTTTAATTTTTGTATGTAAAAAAAAAATGTATGTTCTTTTTCCATGAACTTTAATGATTTTTCAACCATGAATGAAGAAAAACTTTCATTATTTAAACTTGTGATAGACACTTTTGAATATTTTATTGCGAGAGTTGTTAAATAAAAAAACTATTATTACACTATAAAATTTTTTCACAAGAAAAAATAACGTATACTTCAATCTATTATGCAATATGGGTAGGTGTTGAAGTGGTGTTGTACTAAATTTATAGCTTGTTTTTTAGATAATATCTTTATTTTACATAAGAAATTCTAGATTTTGCAACACGGAAAGAAAATTAGAAAAAAAAGGTGAGTTGTCTAGAGATCTGAATGCTAATTGATGTGACTTTACTCTAGAGCATGAGTTTAAACAAGATGAGATTTTTTTTCCCAATTGTATAGAATATTATTCTAACAATCGATGAATGTTTCTTCAATATTAAAGGTTGATTTATAGATATTGAATAGTTAAATTGTATCGAGTACTAAAAATAGTTATCTAATTTTTTAATTTAAAACCATTCTTTGATTTCTTTCCATCGTGAAACCTCAATTAAACGTATTACACCTATTTTTCACTGGTTATGCTTATGTCCAATAGGTAAACGTATGTCATTTTATTTATTCTGATTACTATTTTTTCCTTCTCGTCTTGTTCTGTTCTACGTTTTCTTTTACCTTTTAGAAGAAAAACACTTTTTTTTGTTTTCGCGCTTACTGACCACGTATTTGTCTCTCTCTCTCCCTCTCCCTCTCGCTTTCTCTCTCTCTCTCGCTTTTCCCTTATGTTGGTTTTCTTCATAGATGTTTATTCTAGCTTTTGCATTGTTCTTGTGTGATATAACGGTCTTTCATTTGTCTTCCTTCGAATACCAAACAAATGCTCTCGCGACTTGTGTAATAGTTTGTTTGTCACAACATCTCTAAAAGGTATTCTCAAACGAAATATTTGAGCAGATGTATCATCTTTTTACATAGAAAAAATGTTTGTCTCATGAACGTTTAGTTGATTTTGACAGTGACCTCTGCACCAAGTATTTGCTATGTGTGTATGTTTGTTCATGGCACAACAAGGTCGAATAGGTGCGCATATCTATTCTTCTTTTTTTAAATAATAAGAGAAAAAAAAGGATTTTGTCTTTTAGTAGTTTTAGAAGAATAAGGTAGTCAGGTATGAATGAAACAATAGTAACAATGTTGTTTTTTTCGATCCGTAGTCATTATTTTGTTTACCATGCATGATTATTGTTATTGTTAAAATAGAATTAAGAAAAAAGAAAGATAGAAAAGTAAAATCGTATATATATAGTTTAAGTATAATTTGTTTTTGTAGTCAATTATAAATAAAAATTAATGATAACCATAAAATCATGAATAATAGTACTTGATTTATCAGTCTTTATATATATATATATATATATATTCAAGTTTGAGTCATTTTGTTCCATGTAGTTTTTCGTTTTTTTATTGTAGACAGAGCACATGACGGCGATAAAAAGAATAAATGATTCATCGTATTTGTTGGCTTATGCGCTCGGAGGTCTTTTTTTTATTATTAATATTCTGCGATGTATGTGATTTGTTTGCACTTGTTCTTTCCTTTATGTGTCACGGTAGATCTATCCTTTTCTCCACTTTCATACAATCATTGTACTAATTTAGTATAATAGTAGAGAAGTGCACACACACACACACATTTGTCATGAATGTTCGATTAAGAGTATAAAACAGTTCATATTTGCTTGAGATTTTACTTTTTTTTTTCTTCTTTTTCTTCTAATTACATGGTAAATATTCAACTATGATCAGCTTGCCGTCAGTCCTCGTCCTAGACAGATCGACGAATAATATACATAAATCTTTTGTTCTATTATAGGAGTCACATCGAGAATCTTTTGTTAAGTGCCTTCTGGGCAACACATGGATGTATTTAGTACTTTTTTCTCATTCATCATTTCTGAAATGAACGAGTAATAATATAGCAATCTTCTATAGTTCACGGTCTACTTATCTATCGGCTATATATATTACCTTCATATTCTTGCTTTGATCGCATGTTTGCATCTTTTATCAAATAAATATGATGCAACTATATATACTAGAAGTCAATACTTACCAGACATGAACTCATTTAACAGATTAAACTCAATGAATGTTTCAATTTTCAATATATATACATATGCTATCATTATATTTTTTATTATTATAATTGCCTCTTCACACTTTGAACTGTACAGTAATGATCGATTCGCCTGAGTGTTTGTAAAACTGATTTTCTTTACCCTTTTTTTTTTACATTCTTTTTTTTTCCTTCTTTCTATTTCAATTTTTTTTTGTTTGAACTTATGAGTATAGGTATATAGGTAGGTAACATAGTTTCTTTTCTCCTGTGTACACACATACGTACATATATATATATACGTGAATAGGTTGAACTGTCTTCAACATGTCACAAATGGAAGTCGAACTTTTCCTCTGTCGCATACGACTTTTTTTTTTGCCATTCTTTTAATTGGCCTACTGAATGGACAGAAAAGCAAAAGAAGAGGAAGAGAGAGAGAAAAGGTGAAGATTGCATCGTTAACATGTCCTTTTTGTCCTCGTTGTGTAGTGCAGCAATAGTAGATAAATAATTGTGTGAATGTTTGCTCGGATGTATACTTAGCAAATGAAAGTTCTCTTTTCTCCTTGTTCTTTTTTTGTTTTAGATGTTTCTTCGTTGAGAGCATGATATTTCCGATCATAATAAACACTAATACCATACAGAATAATTATGATGGATATCGATTTAAAACAAGTATTTTCAATTCTTGACGAAAACGACGAAGGTCAAATTCAATTACGACGTTTTGTTGACGTTGCTAATAATTATTATTCTGACGCTGAAGTAAGTTCACTTTCAAAAATTTCAATATAGTGAACTTTTGTTAAAAGTAATATATACTTTAAAACCAATGTCAAACAAAAGACTGTTCATTATTGAATAGGATACAAAATAATAAACACTTTTTGAAAGTTAAATGTATGCATCTATATGCCAGTTGTTTCATTCTATTCTATCTACACGAGTCAAACATAAAGGTCAACGGATTATTTCGTATTCTCTCTGTCACCATTGTATAATATTTCAATTTTATATCTATTTTCTTTCTTTTTTTAGCAACTTGCGCGTATTACAAAAGCATTAGATCCGACTAATACTGGTTTAATCAATTTTGAACAATTTTGTGAAGGTATTGCTCAAATAAGTTCATTGCAAGGTTTAACATTAAAAGAAGTTGCATCCGATTTAACACGTCGTAGTCGTGAAAATTCATTAGTTGAAGATTCTGATCGACGAAGTTTGGTAAGATAATATTTTATTTAAAGAGAGCAGCTACAAAAAAAAAACGATAAGAAGAAGATAAATTAAGATGAAAAAAAAAAACAATCATCAAATTTTTTCTTTCTATATTCTATAGAAAACGAATAATGGTTTTGATTTCTCTTCCCTATCTTCTTGGCCTAACCTTATACAAGAAGAGGTGATAATTAAATTATATTTCTGCTTATTTATTTTTGCTTTTTTTTTTCCTTTATAAATGTTTTTTGTTTTTCTTTTCATACATACACCTGTTATTTTTCTCTTTCGATGTTTCAGTATCAAGAAGGCAGTGACGCGACTTTCAACGAATACGACGTTGAAAACGACGAAGCATTCCATCCCACTAATCATAAAACACAAATAACAAACAATCGAACACCTTCATTAATAAATAGTACAACGAATACAAAAAAAACCTAATAATCAGAACAGTAATCGAAATAATCAATCAATTTCACCAAGATTAGAATCACCATTGTAAGTTAATTTCATATAATTAATTATCGTATCCTTTTTTTTTCCCTAAAAACTATATTCGACTAGTCTGACACTAAGTCGAGCTTTGAAATACTGACACAAAAAAAATGAGGTATCTAAATATAGATCCTTTTATTAAATTAAAGAATATTTTATATTTAACTAAGATTTATTACAAAATAATGCTCTCGGGAGATGGTACGTTTTTCTATGTCGTTAAAAACTATATTTGTTAGACAATATCTCGTTTAGAATCTTTTTTTATCCTGCAGGTATCTTAATTAATATTAATGATTGAACAGTTTTCGTTTCGATCTGAAACATTTTTGTGTATTTACATTCTATTCTACTACTAGGCATAACATATAGAGAATAATTGCATATATATGCCAATTACAGGAAAGAAATACAATAGTGATATATATATTTGAGTAATCTTGAATATTGACATTCACTAGAATCTCAATAGAATTATTTGACTTTAAACTTATTGTGAAGTGCTCTACTCAAACATGTTCTTTCATTCGTAAGAAAATCTCAAATGGATTTTTTAAGAGTCAAAACGACGATATCTCAAAAGATAAAGAAGAAAAAAAAATCCTCTTTTTTCCTATAGTTACGGTGACGATGAAGAATTTGTAGCTGAGCCAACTTCCAGTATCTACTCAACTGACACTGCACATCCTCGAGCTCCAGTTCAACGTATCCCGTACGTCGTTTTTCTATAACTATTTTTAAAATAAGTTTTCACCATAAATAGTCAACCGTTCAAACGAAATAATTATTTGCAACCCGTTATATCACCCGAACAACCTGAACAACAATTACAAGAAACAGTATGTAGAAATTTTATTCGAACAAGAAAGTTATGAATATTAATTTTTTT